CTCACCGTTGGCCTCACCGTCCCTACCTCTCCCACCCCACCGCTCAGCCCAACTGCAAACATGAATTACACGCAGTGCCTCCAAACGTGCTCTGACCCGCCCTCGGCCCTTCACCCCAGCCTCTGGCCTTTGCATTTCCCTCTGCCTCAAGCACACTCCTCTCCCCCGGCTCTTTGCCTGACTCCTCGGCCTCTAGACCCCAACCTAAGATGCCATGTCCCCCAGGAAGCTCCCTGAACCCCTTCTGGCACTCCTTTGACTGGGCTAGATGCCCCACAGACCAGGCAGCTCCCTGACACCCCTCCTTACACATCCTCTATCTCCTGCAAGTGAGCCCCAGGACTGGGTGATCTGGCACCTGGCAGTCCTGGCATGGAGTGAGAGAGCCATCCTTTTTTTTTTGGAGAGGTTTTTTGAGAGGTTTTTGCTATAGGGCGCATGTGCTCGCCAGACAGACAGAGACAGAGAGATAGAAAGCGAGAAATCACACCCCAGGGGGGATGGCCATGCTGCAATCCCTTCTCCTCTCGGGATCTTGGGCATGCACGCACATGTGCCTGGCGTGAGTTTAAGCCACCAGAGCCAGGACTCGAACTGCAGTTGACTACATGGGTCCAGCAACAAAGCCATCATGCCAACTGCTGGTCCCGAGGTCCATGAATTTCTGCCGAGTGGCAGAGTGGGCATGCGTTTCCATCAGAACTCTCAGTGTAATCTCTGGATGGATTTCTGGGTCACCGGCGAAGACCCCAGGATATGACTAAATGGAAGGGTGGGGGCAGCTGACCCCAGGAGAAAAGTTACTTCCGAGCGTTACTGAACACACCAACGTCAGCCTTTCGACTTGGATCAGATCAGTAGCTGATGAAGTCATCGAACCTAAGGATTACGCAACGGGCCAGTTACCTAAGGCCACCGATAACAGGCTCGAGCGTCAGCGGCCAGTCAGGACTCGGCGGAAAGACGCATCCCAGAGCTGCGGAGTGCTCAAGGACGCGTGGGTGACGGCTGGCCGGCAGTTCAGAAGATAAAGGAGCCGAAAGGCCCCCTGGGCACAAGCCCGGTCTGAAGCCACGGTGACCAGAGACCCAGGCCATGGAATGCCTTGGAAGATACCAAAGGAGGCCAATATAGACTCTGATCCACAGGGTGGGGTACAGGCGGTAGGGCCACAGCTGTGCTTGGGGCGGTCCTCTGATGGACGAGGGGTTCAGGCGGAGCTGGACGCTCGAGGGGTGTCCAAGCTCCGAGGGACTGACATCACGTAACCTGGCCCGGCCCCCCGGAACCGAGAACGGGCAGTAGGAGCTCGCTCTCAGTCCTAAAGACACACGCGACACTTTGCTGCCAAAGGCCTTTATTAGCCCTGCCCTTGCCCTGGGCTGCGCTCGGGCCTGCCCTTCCCCAGTTCGGCTCCCCTGGGGGGGCAGGCCTACACCTGGCACCCCTGGGTGCCGTACTCCTGGAGGAAGTCGTCCAGCTGGGCGCAGGCCGCCCGCTGGCGGGTGCTCCGGCACAGGGCTTCAGACGGCATCTCCTCGATCCAGGTGTTGGAGTCCAGCAGGTACTGGGGGCTGCAGGGGTCAGAAGGACGGGAGGCTGTGAGGACTGGCTGCTGGGGGGCGGGGCCGAGGTGGGCGTCTGTTCCCCAAGGAAGGTCACAGGCATGAAGACAGCAAGAGACTGAGGCCAGGGACTCACTCTCCCTTGAGGTCATGGGTGGCCCCATCCAGACCCATGATCAAGTATTCTTTGCCAGGTTCCAAGCGAAGGCGGCAGGAGGCTCGAACCAGGAAGTTGCGAGTCTGCTGAGCAGCGGCCTTGGCATCCTTGGCTGAAGGGACAGCACGGGAGTCATCAGGGTGGGGGCGGGGAGGCTCTGCCGAGGTCCTCCATTTAACCCTGCCCTCTCTGACGGAGCTGCCCCTGTCCCCGGCTGGGCAGGTGGAAGGAGTTTGTGCACGAGCGTGTCTGAACTCGCACTACTCACACAGCCAGACCCCAGCCCAGGCCGCGTCCCCCAGGGCTGCGCCCCCTGCCCCGGCCCAGCCCGGCCCCAGTTCCCTGCGTACTGAAGTGCAGGACTTGGGTGATCTTGGTCTCAAAGAGGCGGAAGGCAGCTCTGCCGTCTTCTCGGAGGACCCTAACCCGGAAGCCTAAGGGGGTGGGTGGAGGGGAGGCCAGGGTCACCCAGCAGGGAAGGCCCGTTGCTCTGGCCCTCCCTGCCAGGGGGAGCAGAGAGGAGCAGGTGCACAAGGGGAGGCCACAGTGCTGGTCCCTGAGGGAGGGCAGCCCGAGCCGGGCACTGACCGTACTCCACGCGGGGGTAGTAGCAGGCAAACTTCATCCTGTAGCCGTCCTCGTCCAGCAGCCCCCGCTCCAGGGCGCGGCGCTGGCGAGGGCACTTCCCTGGAGATGGGGCCGAGGTGAGCCAGTGTGCAGGCCCCACGGCCCGTGGTCCTGCCCCGCCCAGGCGGGAGCCTCACCCTCAGCACACTGGCAGACATCGTCAGAGCACAAGGTGGCCAAGAGCTTGCTCTTGCTCGGCGCTCCGTAAAACACAGAGCATTTGTGCTCTGGAGGAAGGCAGAGAGACAAGTCAGGGTGCCTGCCCCTCCGCTCTGCCTCCCCGGGCCCCGGGCACCTCCGCGGCCCCCCCGCTCCTGATACCCATAGGGGGCGCCTACCCCCAACCGCCCCCGAAGGCCAGGGCACCCGCGGGCTCACCGGGGTTGTAGTAGTCATACAGGGCTGCAGTGGCCGGCTGCACCAGCCCCACGGCCACCTCCTGCACCGCTCCAAAGCCCACACACTCCCGGGAGGTGGGCACCTGGAGAGGGGGAGGCATCAAGACCCACCTCTTGGGGCCTGCAGGCCGCTGGGCTGCATTTCCTTGACCTGTTTCTGTTAGGTTTCTGCTGTGGTTTGAGTATATCCCCTTAAAATTCATGTGTCAAAATTTGGCTGGGCTGGCCCCACAGTGCAGTGCTTAAGTGCTGTGCTTTGGAAGCCAGATCTCATATGGCTGCCCAAGGTTCAAGTCCTGACCCAGGCAGCTTGGAAAACACACCAGACGTGCGTGGGTGCGTGCCCGAAATTCTGATGGGACGGAGAAATGAAAGAAAGAGGGCTATGGTGGGACCACATTGCACTGTGGGAGCGGAGGTGTTTCTGGCTCTCACACTCACCCTCTGGCAATTAAAAACAGAAACAAAACTGAGGAGCTGCTGTGACTGTAGTCAATTATGGAACTAAGGTGCAGGGCCTCGGAGAGGTCATTAGGATCAGAGAGGCTATCAGATGGGGGCCCCCGCCTCAACACTGATGGGCTACAAGGAGAGGGAGACAGACAGACAGACAGACACGTTTGGCTCTGCACAGGCTCTTGCCCCGGCTATGATGTGGTGCGCAGCGGCCACACCATGCTCGTGGACCTCAGCCTCCCAAACCATGAGCCCAATAAACCTCCGGTCTCTGAGATCACGCAGATGCAGGTACTTGCGGTATCAGCAAAGCTGCAGACCAGGATGGCTACAACGGGTCCTGCTGGCCTATCTCCAGGGTCCTTCACATTTTCCCAGAAGTCTAAACACTGTTCCCCAAGGTCTCCGATGACTCCACTGGCTAGTAACCTTGGTAACCTGGTAACCGTGTTCCAGTGTTTGCTGCCCTGGGCCCTCTGCAGAGTGTCACGTCACAAGCATGTTCTCTGGGAAGCTCCCCAGGCTAAGGGTCAGCTACTGGGACACCCCTCGTATCGATCCTGGTGTTTCCTATACCCCCTTTCCTCCTAGGAGCACAGGCCCCAGATGTCTCTTCCTTTCTGGCCTCTGTGCCTTCTGGTAGGGGTCTCAGTGAGGGGCTTCCACCGAACCTATCTGGGCTGATGTCGCCCAAACAGAGCTTTCAGCCCCATCCTTGCATGAGGATCCTGGCAGGACTCGCAAGGTCTGCAGTGCACTCTGCCCGCCCCCCTGCAGCCCTGACAGCTCGGTCTTCCTGGCCGACACGGCTGAGCCTTCTTCCTAACCTAACGCGCACTCCACCTATCCTGGGCCGACCCCTCCTCATACGCGCGCGGGACCACCCGGCCCAGGGCCCTGCCGATTTCCCTGCTAAACCGGGCTACCCCGTGGCCGACTCCCTGGCTCCACAGTCTGCACCGCGTTCAACCCGGACTCGTCTACCTGGCTTCTCAAGCTAGTGTGGCCCCTCTGACGGGATGGCGAAATGGAAGGAAAAGGATTATGGTGTGATCGCACCCCACGGCGGGGAGGCCTCTCCCTCCCTTACCCTAGCCCGCTGGCGATTAAAACAAATTGGGCAGGGGCCTCCCTGGCCCCCAACACCCGGCTAATGATGGCTACCACGTCTTTCTCACATTTCTCCCAGGGTGAGAACAAATGTTCAGAAAGTATTTTTGATGACTATGGGAGGCTCGAGAACTCTCCATTTTAGCCAAACGAGCTCATGAAGAGACAACTACAACTACTATCTACAGCCACCATCACTTTTTCAAAGAAAATCCACTGCAATATGAAGAAAGAAAGAAAGGGAAAAGAAAAGAAAGGAAACTAGGAAGCTCAGTAGCAAAAGCCAAACAAAGGCAGCCGCTCTGACGGACAGCCACTTCCCACACGGCTCAGCTCCAGCCTTCGGGTGCCCCCTGCTGACTGGCCCCAGTCCCTGCGGCCCTGCGGGTGGCGCCTCCCTGGAGGTCTCCCCCTAATTCTGCAGTGGCTCACATGGGTCCCACTCGTGTCCCGTCTCCCTGCTCGCGTCACAAGTCCTCAGGAGCACTGGCCATGGACACGGCTGTCCCCTGAGGACCCCTTCACGTACTGAGAGACCCGGTGCCCGCTCCCACTCACCGAGTCGAAGTAAAGCAGGACATGGGGCCCCTCAGTCTCGAAGTGACTCACGTAACGGTCGGAGAGCGAGGTCAGCTGTGGGGAGGGAGAGACGGTCACAGGTGGGTGGCCCTGGCCCTGAGCATGACAGGGCCCAGTACCGGGCACAGGAGAGCCGTGCTGGGAGGCTGCCCGCACCTTTTCCAGGTCAGCCCGCAGGGCGTGGAATCCACTCAGGAGGGTGATGTCTGCAATGGCCATCCCAGACAGCCCCACCTTGCCATTCCGCCTGCGAGGAGATACGCGGCCGTCCAGGTTCCGCCTGCACTGGGCCCAGACGCCCACCCCGGCCTGGGTCCTGCCCCCACCCCGTGGCCCAGAGCTGACCTGACATGCTCACCAGATGCACACGGTGTAGCCCCAGCCTGGGTCCTGACCCCCATCCGTGGCCCAGAGCTGACCCGACACACCCACCAGATGCACACGGTGTAGCCCCAGCCTGGGTCCTGCCCCCATCCCGTGGCCCAGCGCAGTGCCCGGCACCCACCAGATGCACACGGTGTACTGTACTCTGGACTCCGGCTCCTCTGCCACCTTGGGAGCGTCCCTCCGGCGGCGGTTCCTCCGGCCCTCAAACAGCTGCAGGCGCGTCACAGGCTGTGCGTGGGCACCTGGGTCGTCCCCTGCCGGATTCTCCTCGTCCTCGTAGTCCTCGTAGTCCTCGTTGGCCTCCACTGCACAGACAGGCGTTGTGAGGCGGGCCGGGCCGGCGGTGTGGCTGCCCGCACCAGCCCGCTGGCCCAGGCCTCCCGACCCCATCCTCACTGGTGTACTCCACGTGGCCCTGGACTGTCACTTCGATCTGAAGGTCCTGGCAGGTTGTGTTCTTCATGTCCAGCACGTTGTAGGTGCGAAGGACCTGGCTCGGCAGGGAACAAGGAGAGGACACGCGCACTTGGAGCCATGCCCTCTGCAGGGCCGTTCCCGAGGGCGTGCCCCTCCAGCTCCTCAGCCCCTCACAGGCAGGCCGGGGAGGGGAGGGGCACTAGGTGCTGGCGAGACGGCGAGGCAGGGAGGAGCAGGGCCCGCCCGGAGGCCAGCTCTCCAGCCAGGGCACGGACGAGGCTGGCATGGGGCATGCAGGGAGGCTCCTGGCTGAGGCGTAAAGAGGAGAAAGGGCTCGTCCTGAGGGACGAGACGCAGGGGAGGCACTCAGGGCAGGACGGCTGTGTAGACGGGCGGGGCTGTTGGGTGAGAGGCGGACAGGGTCCAGCCCTGTAAACACTGTGGGGGACCTGGGTGTTCTTCAATCTGAGGGGTGTTCCTGAAAGGTCGCCCTGCTGGCGTGTGGATGACAGCTCCAAGGGGCGAGGTGGGAGGAGGGGAAATGCCCCAAGACTGTCTTAGCACAGAACCCAGGACACAGGTGACTAAGGGCCTGCACAGCAGGGGAGAGAGGAGCTACTGGGGCCACAGGAGGGGGCAGAAGGGGGCCGCTAAGACACCCCAGGAGCGGTGCTGGGCTATGGGTGGAAGGCGCTCCCGGAAGTCAGTCAAAGGGCACAGGAGAAAGGGTTTGGGACATGGTGTCTGAGGTGCCATGGCTCACCACTGACGCAAAGGAAACACAGGGGACCAGACATGGGGAGCCCAGAGCGAGGGGAGAACGTGGGCGCAGAAGCTCAGGACCCCAACCCTGAGGGGTGGTCCTCCTCACCCAGGCCAAGGGCCCTGCCTCCAGGCCTCCCACTCAGGACTGTCCCCCGTGCCCCGCCCCGCCTGCGCCTCACCTTCAAGGTGCCTTTGCTGTTCCCGCCCACCTTCACAGTAATCTTGCTGCTCAAGGAAAACTTTCAGAAACAAAAGGAAAACAAAGATCAGAAACGCACAGAAAACCCTGTTTGTTGCTCCAACCATTTCTCTCTTCTCTCAAAACACTGTCACCAGGCCAGCAGGTGGCATGGTGGTTAAGGCACTGGATGCCTGACCACCAATTCTGTGGTCTGAGTCCCGAACCTGGTGGCCCAAAAGACGCTGCGTGCATGTGCATGTGTGTCTAAAAAGTCCCAAGAAAATGGAGGAGGAGGGATCGTGGTGTAGCCATCCTCCAGGGGGTTATTTCTTCTTCCCTCTCTGTCTCTAGTGAGCACACATGCCCTACGGCAAACAAAAATCTAAAAA